CGGGCGAGGCTCTGGTGTGAGGCAAGGGGTGTCTGGGCTCGCCAAGATGGGTAGGGGGGGGATGGCCCCACAAGCAGCGAGGTTTGGCCGCCGCGGAGCAGAGCAATGCAGAGGGAGGTTTCCCTGCGGAGCGGCCGGGGGAGGTAGGGAGGGTGCGAACGCGTGAAAACACCAGCGCCGAGAATAACTGGGATGAACACGAGTGTCGGCGGGACCCCTGGCTGTGGGGAGGGGTGCCCTCGCCCCCGAGGGGCTGGGCATGGCCACGGGTGGGTTTGGGGAGCGGGTTCCTGTCTCCATCAGCCGCCCTGAGCTCTCCTCTCTCCCGCAGGGCAGTGGTGCTACGACTCGCAGGACCCCGAATGCGGTGAGTGGTGCCACGTGCAGGGTGGGGGGTGCCAGGGCCCCGGGCCCGGGCCCCCACCCAGGCTGGGGGCCCCCTGGGCAGCATCGGCAAGGCGGCAGCGGGGAGCATGGCTCAGCAAAGGCGAATTCACCCATATCACACCAAGGTGGGACTGGATAGAGGACCTTCACTTCCAGCTGTGTTGGTGTAGAGACTGGAGACAAGTGCCTGAGCCCCTTGGGGACGGCTCGGCCCCGGCCCCCTGCCCCAGCTAGGTCTGGGTGCTCCTGGGTGCCTCCCCCATTTCACCCAAAGCAAATTAATGCCCGGATTTAAAATAGGCCACTAGGAACCCCAGCGAGGCACAGGCATCGGGGGGCCATGGGGCACAGGGGCCTGGTTCGAGGAGGGATGGCTCCCTTTGGGCAGCAGCGAGCTGAGCCTGCCCGCGCTGGGGAAGGGAAGCAGGGCCAGGGGCGCTTTGTCTTGAAGCATGCAAATAGCTTGTAAAAGGTTAATTAAGGATCAACGAGCATTTAATCAGCCGTTACGGCCCAACTGTTTTATAGCTCTTGGGTGCACGCGCCCTGTGCCCAGCCAGCGTGGCCCATCAGCCGTGGATCGCTGGGCTCTGCCTCTCCCTGCCGGAGCAGCGCTCGGTGTCACCAGCAATTTAACCATATATCCAATCCAATATCCAAATAACCATATAACCAATAAAATCAGGCCGGCGGCGAGGGCAGATTTCGGCAGGGCCAGCGGGAAGTGGCTTGGGCAGCGTGGAGCTGGCCACGTGCCAGCAGTGGGGCCATGGGGAACAGTCCCTTAATGAAGGCACTGGATAATTTGTGGGGCCACCCGGTAGCACTGTGCCGGGGCAGGGGGTGGCACGGCCAGGCTGTGGCTCCCCGGGGGTTCTAGGCAAAAAGCTGCCAGTAGTAATGAGAGGAGAAGGGAAGGAGACAGGGCTGAGCCAGGGGTGGGGGGAGGAGGTGGAGGTGCCTGTGTGTCTGTGGTTTTGGCTGCCCAAGAGGGAGGGAGGTAAAGGCAAGAGCTGAGCCATGGGGCGCTGCTGGCGGAACGGCCCCCCAGACCCTGGTGGTAGGGAACACGGGTGTGTGGGTCAGCCAAGGGCTGCCCACCAGGATGAGCGCCAGCGCAGAGCCAGTGGTGCCTGCAGAGGGGTGCCCTGGCACCAGGACTGCCCTGGGTGGATGAGGCTGCAGACCCCAGGGCAGCACCCATTCCGTGGCTGGAACCAGGCACCTGCAGCCGGGGCTGCGCGGGGGCCAAGGGGGCAAAGGAGCGGGGTGTCAGGGCAGCTGCACTGCAGCAGTGACCGGCAGGGTGGCCGGCTGTGTCCGACGGCCGTGGGCTGCAGGAAGAGATGGCACCGGGGGGATGGGGGTGCTGAGCCAGGCGTAGGGGGGGATGGGGATGCTGAGCCACGCGGATTTTCCCAGCGCCCACCACGGTGACCCCCACCCCAGGAGCTGCCGATGGGCGACGAGCGGTCACCCCGGACCCCACATGGGATTTGCCCCAGGACAAGTTGCGTGGCCAGGATGCGCTGTCACCTGCCACAGCTGGACAAAACCAGCAGGGGTAGGGGAAAACGTGGTTAAAAACCAAACCCTGTGCTCAACGAATGGGCCTGAAGTCCTCTGTCCCCTCTCCCCAGCGGCTCCCATCTGTCTGTCCTTCCCTCGCAGGTGCTGTGTGGGGCACTTTGCTCCCTCTGCACAGAGCAGCCCCCTGCCCAGCCCTGGCGGGACCCCCAGCCAGGGGGCTGGGGGGGGCACAGCCCCACAGAGGGTGTTTGCTTGCAGGGATGGGCAGCAGGGGCTGGGGGAAAAGCTCGCCCTTCACCAGCGGCAGCGTGGAGGGACAG